CCCCAAAACCCCAAAACCCCAAAACCCCAGTGAATTGACTGAATATTGAAAGCTTAACAAATATTCCAAAATAAACCATTTCTTGTTGAAACAGAGGGGCTAGACCAAATTTTAAGGAAGGATATTCTTGGTATATCTATATAAGAAACACTAATTTTTACTCCTAAAAACAACTCAAAATGGCTTCTATCTATGACTATCAGACTCAAGAAACAAACAAGATTGGAAAGTCCTACCAAACAAATTCAGTCGACGAGTACTGCCCAAGCCACAGAGTGGAGTATGTCGCTTACGATCAAGATACCGGTGAACTCCTCTGAAACTGCTGAATCTATGAGAAGAGGTCTGAAAACCTCGTATTCAATGCAGTTGTAGCTAAGAGACTTCAGGAGATCTACGAAGAGAAGTTTAACATGTACAAAGAGTCTCTCTCAAGGATGCAAGGACTCTCCAGCAGACTTGTCTCAACCAAACTTCAGGAATCCATGAAAGGTTTCTTTGCCAATCTCAAGGGACATATCAGAAAAGTTTATTCCCATGTACTCAAAGAGCTGAGGAACAGTAAAAATCTTCAAGAGATTAACCAAATTCTCAGAGATGCTGAAAGATGCTTTAGCGAGAAACAAGCTCTAGGCTTTACCCAGAAAAGGGACTCATTCATGGATTTTATCTCGAAAGGACAATTCACTACAATTGCAATGAACAAGAGTCATTATGATGATATTATCAAAATGCTTGATGAACAATCCAGTAAACTTGAAGCTGTAGCAAAGGAAACAGAGCTTAGAATGACCAAAATCCTTAAGATTAACAAAAATCCTCAACTTATCCAGCAGAAGATGCATGAGATAGTTGATAAATGTATGGAAATTGACCCAGGAAGATCAAAAACAGAGTTACAACAACTGAAATATATAAGTCAACGAGATTTGGACACTTATAAGCCCTCTCAGGGTACTCTGGTTGAATCCAATTTAACCGAATCGGAAGGAAGAATTTTTGATATTTATTATAATAAGAGATCTGATAAAACTCATGAGAGTTCAAAAAAATCAATCCCTGGTCAGAATGAGGCACGAAATCAACAAAATTTCAATCAGCATCCATTATTATCAAGCATACCTGATATCCCAAGCAACTTTGGATCAACCATTCCTCAATCAACTTCAAATGCTCCCCAACAGAAGAAAAATAATCCAGCTCCTCAAAAGCAAAATATAGCCCCTCAAAGGCAGAACATAACTCCGCAAAGAGCAAATATTCCCTCTCAAGTACAAAATATTCCTCAACAAAGACAGCAAATGACTGTTCAAAGACCAAACATGGCTCATAAGACTCAGAATGTTGCACCTCAGAAGCCAAATATTCTTTCACAAAGGCAAAATATCACCCAAAAGCAAGATGTTCCTCTTCAAAGGTATAATACAATCCCTCAGGCTCATAAAAATTCTGCTACGACTGCTCAAAATGCAGCTGCTCAAAGGATTCCCAATCCTGCCTCTCAGGTTGCCCAAAATATTGTACCAAGGCCTAGGACTGTATCTCAGTCTGTATCACAACCTCAAACTAAGCCTGTAGCACAATCTAAACAATTTAATGCACCTCAGGCTGCTCAAAATCAGAGACCTCTAGCCCAGATACAGCCGATCCAGAGAATACAGCCAAAGCAATTGGTGCCAAGTCAGGTTCAGAGACAAGCACCTAGTCAACAGAATTTGCCTCAAAGAACTCAGCAGAGTTCTTCTCAGATGGCAGTTTCAATGCATCCAAGGCCTGATGTTTCTATGAGTGCTAAACCTCCAGCTGGAGTCCCTCAAAAGCCTCAAACGATCTCTGCTAGAGCTTATCAGGTATCTTCAAATGTTGGAATGAAAGATCTGATGCAAAAGCAGTCTCAGGCTTCCGGCTCAAACACTGGTGCAAAACCTCCTACCCAACAAGTTCAGGCTCATAGGCCAGTAGTACAGAGCAAAGTTCAAGCCGATACTTCTTCAAGTACTGATGATATTTCAATCATTAGAGAGTTACAGTCTCATTCAAAAGCAAACCAAAGTAAATCGTTAGAAAGTCAGCAAGATGTAATTGACCTGACTGATAGCCAAACAACTAACGATGAAGAGCCAAAAAGCACTGGAATTAGTCATCATGGAGAGACTCAAGCTACTGGCTCTTCAATAGGCCAAGCTAGCAAGACAGCTAATGAACAAACAAACCAGCATAAAGAACACAATTTAGAGAAGAATGAGCCTCATAATTCAAATACTGACCAACTAACTCAAAATTCTAATACAGTTCAGCCAGAAATGCAATTCGAGGAAGAGAAAGTGTCCTTCTCTGAAACTCATGAGAAGAAAACTCCAGCTACCAGTAACTTTGCAGATGCTTTCAAAAAGTTTGAATGGCATTTTAGACAAAAAGCATCTCAAATATACAGAATTGAGGCTGACGGAAGCCAGACTGCACTCTCAACTGTGAAGACTGTATTCCTTCCAAAGTCTGTCTATACTCCTGACAAGCGTGTCTTCCTTCTAGGAGGAGCTCTTGATCACCAGATCAAAGAAACTGTGGATCATTGAGTTGAAATGAACTTCTCTAACTCAAGCATGCAATCTTTTGAGAGAGCCCCAATGCCTATTGGAAAAGCTAGTTTCGGCTGAACTCTTAGTCAAGACCATACAAAGATTTATATTGCTGGAGGATACAAGAAAGACAATGTAGTCACAAACACTGTTGAAGTTTATCATATTGATACAGATACCTGGACTTCGCTACCAAATATGTCTAACTTCAAATGTTCATCTGCTCTTTGTGAATATATCTCAACTGATGGCTCTAGATGGCTCTATAGCTTTGGAGGGCTCATAAAACCGTCAACAAATACTGGTGTTCATTTACTCCCCACCATTGAAAGGATCAATCTCGACAAAGCAGATTCTTGGGAAGAACTAAATGTATCCTTCCCTATAAACCTCTGTGATTCAGGAGCGATGCAAATCGACCCAAGAACTATTATGATTTACGGAGGTTGGAATCAGGCTGCTACTCCATCTGTTCATTTATTCCACCCAGAAAACGAAGTGAAAACTGTAATTGCTTGCAGAGATGATGGAAACCTTCAAGATGCTGACTTCTTCCTCTGAAATGGATCTGTTGGAAGAATCTCAAATGAGTCAAGTAATGTAAGAATAGTTGGCCACAACCATACTCACGACTTTAACCTAGTGACCAGGAAATTCAAAACAGCGTCTTCTTAAGCTAGAAACTTCTAGCCTAATTCTTTTTGAGCTTCAATAAAACCCCTTTTTATTGGGGTTTTGGGGTTTTGGGGTTTTGGGG